GCTAATGGGGCTAAAAATGGACAGATTTCCTAGCCCTATGGAATGCATCCCAGTGTACTAAAAGAGTTGGCAGGGGAAATAGCAAATGCACTGGTGGTAATTTACCAATATTCACTGGACTCTGAGGCGATTCTGGCAGATTGGAAAACAGCAAAAGTGATGCCACTGTTTAAAAATGGAGGTAGACAAAAGGTGAGTAACTATAGGCACTTTGGTTTAATTTCTGCAATGGGGAGAATACTTGAATCTATAATCGAGGAAGAAACAGCCAAGCATCTGAATAGAAATTGTCCCAGCGGGCAGACGTAGCATGGGTTTATGAAAGGCAGGTCATGTTTAACTAATTAACTGGAATTCTTTGAGGACATTACGAGTGTGGAGGACAATAGGGAACCAGTGGATGTAGTGTTTTTGGATTTCCAGAAGGCATTCAACAAGGTACCGCACAAAAGATAAAGGTGCATGGCGTTACAGGTAATGTATTTGCATGAATAAGTGATTGGTTAACAAACAGAAAACAAAGAGTAAGGATAAATGTGTGTTTTTCTGGTTGGAGATCAGTGGCTAGTGATGTGCCTCAGGGATCAGTGTTGGGACTGCAAATTATTTTCAATTTACATAGATGATTTAGAGAATGTTACCAAGTGTAGTGTGTCAAAGTTCGCAGATGACACTAAAATGAGTGGTACAGCAAAGTGTGCAGAGGACACTGAAAGTCTGCAGAGGAATATAGATCGGTTAGGTGAGTGGGCAAGGGTCTGGCAGATGGAGTAAAATGTTGGTAAATGTGAGGTCATCCATTTTCATAGGAATAACAGCAATACGGACTATTATTTAAAAGGTGAAAAATTGCAGCACGCTGCTGTGCAGAGGGACCTGGGTGTCCTTGTGCATGAATTGCAAAAAGTTGGTTTACAAGTGCAGCAGGTAATTAGGAAGGCAAATGGAATATTGTCCTTCATTGCTAGAGGGATTGAGTTTAAAAGCAGGGAGCTTATGCTGCAGCTCTATAGGGTGCTGGTGAGGTCACACCTGGAGTACTGTGTTCAGTTTTGGCCTCCTTACTTGAGAAAGGATGTACTGGCACTGGAGGGGGTGCAGAGGAGGTTCACTAGGGTGATTCCAAAGTTGAGAGTGTCGGTTTATGAGAAGAGATTGAGTAGACTGAGACTATACTCATTGGAATTTAGAAGAATGATGGGGGATCTTATAAAACTATGAAGGCAATAGATAAGGTAGAAGCAGGGAGGTTGTTTCCACTGGCTGATGAAACTAGGACTAGGGGTCATAGCCTCAAAATAACAGGGAGCAATTTTAGGACTGAGCTGAGGAGGAACTTCTTCTCCCAAAGAGTTTTGAATCCATGCAATTCCCTTCCCAGTGAAGCAGTTGAGGCTGAATGTTTTTAAGGCAGCGATGGATAAATAGACTTTTGAACAGCGAAAGAATTAAGGGTTATGGTGAGCAGGCAGGTAAGTGGTGTCCACAAAGAGAACAGCCATGATCTTATGAATGGTGGAATAGGCTTGGGAAGCCAGATGGCCTACTCCTGCTCCTATTTCTTATGTTCTTATGACTTGGAACCTCCCCAGTAGTTGCAGAACTCAGTAGATTTACATGACATGTCCAATCAGTCTATGTTGCTCAATTTAGCTGATAACGAAAGTGATTCCTATGTAGTTATTTACTGTTGTCTATATGTTTTCTCAGATTATTTGATGGATTTTCTGATTCAGGAAGCTAGGTCAGAACTACAGCCAAGAAAACTGAACTGGTCCAAAGTTTAAATGTTACCGAAGCAAATTATTATTTCAATTTCCTGGGTTTAAGACACCCTTCCTAAGGGCATATCTACTTGTTGTACCTCTTCACTACTAATCCAGTCCTTCTAAATTATATAGAAAGCTACAATCATCTCTCATGTAATTACTGATGATCCTTAGAACAGCTCTCCATCCAGGCCTATGTGTGTATCCAAAATAAGTGACATCTGAGAATTGAGAAAACCCCCCTAACACCAACCTCCCTCAGATGCTCATTAAAGTTGAACTTGTGAATTCCCCTCGAAGCCACACTCCATCCTGACTTGGAAATATATCACTGGTGCTTCTCTCACTGGGTCAAAATCCCGGATCTCTTGCCCCAATAGTGTAGTCGGTGAACCTGAACTAAGCAGGCCAGAGCAGTTCAACAAGTCAGCCCACCAGCACCTTTTTCAAGACAATTAGCAATAAGCAACAATTGTTGTCTTAGCCAGTGATGCCCACATTCCGTGAACAAGCAAAAGAAAGCTGAGCATCGACCTAGGGAGTTTTAAGGCTGTGCTGACTATAGATAGCAGGTGTGCTATAATTAGCCTCAACTCTCTTGGGTTAGCTTGGGAATAGTGAATCCCTACGTTCCTACTGCTATGTAGTGAGGGTGGAGGGGGCTTTGCATGTGTGGGCATTGGGTGAGGCCAGGACTTGCCATGGTTGTGTGCCAGCTGTTTCCAAATACTTTACCATAAGTCATGGTCAATGGGAGACTGGTGCCACTTGGCCTCTACTTAATCAAGGAGCCCGCGATATCAAGAGATGCGAACAATTGGTAGAGAGGAAAAAGAAAGCGTGCACATTTTTAAAAAAAACTCCACACCTGAAAGTTCATCCACCATCTACTTTGTTACACTCAGATAGAGCATTGAAAAATGCATGAGAGCAGAGAATGAGAAAACAATTTCTGACCTATGCGGCCATGACATTCTTAATTTGGTCTCCATCCATTGTTTCTTTCCTCTTCACCATTTTTTATCTTTTATTTGGAGAATACCTTATTCATGGTGTGAATCATCCATCAGCATTGTTGTTACTGCTGTTGCTGTATATGGATTTTTTGTTAATACCTGCTCAAAGTACACACTTAAAATATCATGGGACTTGATAAACTAAAGAGCCTTTTTATTTACCCTGCAAAGTGACGTTAGACTGCTGAAGTTGATTTGATGCCTTTTGGCTATGCTTCCAACAAGCAAATGTGCAGAGTATTTCTGAAATAGTAAGAGTTTGGAAAGTGGAGATGTACAATGGGACCCAAGTGTCCTTGTCAATAGGCCATTGAAAGCTAATATGCAGGTGTAGCAAGGCTGATGGAATGTCAGCCTCCTTGACAAGACGATTTGAGTACAGGAGTTGTGAAGTCTTGCTTCAATTGTATAAGAGCTTGCTCAGATTATATCTGGAAAACTGTGTGCCGTTTTGTTCTCCTAGGAGAATGGGCAAAGAAATGGCGGATGGAATACAATATGGGAAAGTGTTAGGTTATGCACATTGGTAGGAAGAATAGAGGCATAGGCTATTTTCCAGATACAGAAGGCCTTCGGAAATCAGAAGCGTAAAGGGCCTTAGGAGTCCTGGTTCAGGATTCTGACAGGGTTAACATACAGGTTCAGTAGGCTGTTCGGAAGGCAAATGCAATGTTCGCATTCATTTCAATTGAGTTAGAATACAAGAGCAGAGATGTACTGCTGAGGCTTTATAAGGCTGTGGTCAAACTGCGTTTGGAATATTGTGAGCAGTTTTGGGCTCCTCATCTAACGGAAGATATGCTGGCCTTGAAAGAAGCCAAGAGGAGGTTTACAATAATGATACCGGGGATGAAGGACTTATCATATGCGGTTGAGGAATCTGAGTGTATATTTGTCAGAGTTTAGAAGGATAATGGAGAATCTCATTGAAACTTACAGAATATTGACAAACCTGGATAGAATGGATGTGGAGCTGATATTTCCAGTAGTAGCAGAGACTAGCACCTGAGGGCACAGCCTCAGATTGAAGGGATGGCTTTTTAGAACTAGATGAGGTGGAACTTCTTCAGCTGGAGGGTGGTTAATCTGTAGAAATCATTCCCGCAGAACGCTGTGGAGACAAAGTCCTTGTGTATATTTAAGACAGAGCTGGATAGGTTCTTGACTGGTCAGGGGATCAAGGGTTATGGAAAGCAGGCAGGAGAATGAGGTTGAGAAGCACATCAGCCTTGATCAAATGGTAGAGCAGACTCGATGGGCCAATTCTGTCCTAAATATTATAGTCTTATAGTGTTATGACAGGGAAGATATTATTGCCATAGAGGGAATGCAACAAATTTTGACCAGACTTGTTCCTGGGATGTTGGGACAGTTCTAAGAAGAGAGATTAGAAAACTGTGCCTGTAGAGTTTTGAAGATTGAGAAGTGACTTTATTGAAACTGTCAAAATACTTTAAAAGATAGACTTGATGGATCCAGATAAGATGTTTCCCCTGGTTGGAGAGTCTAAAGCTAGGGGACAAAATTTAAAATAAGGAGGATACCACTTAGATTGGCAATGAGGAAAAATTATTTTGCTCAGTGAGTTGTGAACCTGTTGAATTCTCTACCATAAAGGGCTGTGGAGGCTCAGTCTTTGAATCTGTTTAAGGTAGAGATTGATAATTTCTGATTACCGGGGCAGACAGGGTTATGGAGATGGGTTGAGTAAAAGGCATTGAAGTGTTCAATCAGCCATGATATTACTGAATGGCAGGGAGGGCTCATGGGCTGAATAGCTTACTCTGGTTCCTGTGTTTCTGTATTAGGGAGGAATTTAGTTCAAGTACTTCATAGTTCTTCCAAGCAAGCCAAGTCATCCATGTACCATCAATGTTGCCGATACTTTATTTGAAATAATGCAAGCTTTTAGGATCAAAATGGGAGTGTTGTCCAACTGTGGAACATTTTTCTTTATTATATTTGTTCACAGCTGCCGCATATTTGAGCACCAGCACTCGTAGCTGGTGTGCTTCAGCTTGCGCTGGTTGGCACATTGTCCTTCCATTTTCTATGGGTTACCACTTCTTGGCACCTATGGCCACCAGTTTTGATCTTCTTATCACTTACTTTGACAAGTGGTTATCGCAGGTTTGTGAAATCAAGTGACTTACTGCTACTTAAACTGCGGAGTCAAGTTACAATTTTAAACTTATTTTCGCTGTTTCTTTTGCAGTGTTCTCAGGATCTTCGTCAAGCACCAAGTATGATCCTGATATCCTCAAGGCAGAAATATCAACCACAAAGGTCCGGGTAAGAATAACAGATGCTGAAGAAATTTGGTTTGAACAGAGGTTTCACTGAGAAGTTGTGAAGCAGCCATTTCAAACCTAGTTATTTAATTATTTTGGCTGACGGTTTATAGGCTAACATTCAAAAATGCTTCAGTGGCTCGCTTTGGCTTTGTGAGTTTCAGTAACCTGAGATATTCCATCAAATCGCCAAATACTTTTCACCTGTTTCCCAAAAGGTTTAAGTTCTCCCAGGAATATATGTGCTCAATGAGTTCCACATGCGTCATTTACCCAGCAGGGGCTTTGTATAGTTTTGACTCATTTTGCATTGGCATAGACAGAGATATGATTAGAGCCAGGGTACTGGCCAGCTGCTTCAAACACCTACTAAGGTGAGACGTGTGCTTGTCTATGTTATGTTCGCAATATAACTTAAGCTGAATCATCAATACAAACTGAGAATTATGGAAATTATGCTGTCATAAAAATACTTAAAATGCTTGATTCCAGATTCCCTACTTTGAATTACTGAGGTGTTAACACATTGAAAACAAATGGCCTAACATCTACTTCTGAAGAAAGAAGTCAGACTAACTTAATCGTACTGGGTTAAGTTATAAGCAATCCTGCATTTCACAAGGATAGCTACAATTGACTCAAGTACAGATCAGAAGACCTTTAGATGTAGGAGCAGAAATAAACCATTTGGCCCATCATTTGTGATCTGTCATTCAATGAGATTGTGACTGATTTGATAAACCTCAACTCCCTTTTCCTGCCTTTTCCCCCCATACCCTTAATCAGAAATAGAACTGCAAACCTTTTAGATCCAAAATTCCAAATCGCATAGCCTACAAGAATTATTTCCTGAAGGATCCAACCAATGTACCCAAAATATATTTTGATCAATTTTTCATTAATTCATTCATGGAATGAGGGCATCACTGGCTAGGCCAACATTTATTGCCCATCTTTAATTGCCCAGAGGGCAGTTTAGAGTCAACCACATTGCTGTGGGTCTGGAGTAACTGTAGTTCAGACCTGCCAAGGAAGGCAGTTTCCTTCCCTAAAGGATATTAGTGAACCAGATGGGTTTTTTTCCAAGAACCGACAATGGCTTTATGGTCATCGTTAGACTTTTAGTTATAGATTTTTTTAAAAATTCAATTCAAATTACGCCATCTGCCATGGTGGGATTCAAACCCCGGCCCCCAGAACATTACCTGGGCCTCTGGATTAATAGTCTTATGATAATATCACTAGACCAATACCTCCCCAATTGTATGCATGTATTATATTTTGATGGACTGAGTTTTTTGGCAGAGTTTTGTATGTCAGTACAACACATGGGACTTTTAGCAGCAAGGATATCTTGAGGTATTCTGTTGGCCCTTTCGGCCCTTTTGAGAAAGATGGTTGTTCTTATTCATAGCAGTGTTGGGGTTGTCATAATTTGGAATCCATGTTTGTGTCTACAGAAAGATTGATACACCCTGTGTTTTTCCTTCAGTTAAAACATTTTGTTTTTATAATTTGTTCCTTTACAGGTAAATAAGCTGAAAAGAGAACTTTCCCAGATGAAACAAGAGCTGTTGTACAAAGAGCAAGGGTTTGAAACACTACAGGAGTAAGTTCCTCACGTCAGACTTAAAGCAATTTATGCATATCTAAAGCTGTAACTCAATTTAAGTAATTATAAACGCAAAAAAAAATCTTGAAGCTGATATGCTAAAAGTTTAGTGTGGCAAAGCTGTACAGGTTTTCACAGAATTTCCCACTTAATGACTTTTTAACCATAAGAAGGCCAAGCACACAGGGCAGTCCTTTAGGGAGAAATATCATTTGAGACATTTGAGTTCTGCCCTCATTCTTCTCAAGAATAGAGGAATTTAAAACTGAACACAGGGAAAAGTTACTTCAAAATAGAGTACTACATATTTCACAAAAATCTCCTTGTATGTTTTAAAAGCCAACATACCATAAATTAACTTAGCAAATTTTTTGCCTATTTTGCATACTTTCCATTCAAAAATTTTTTTTTAGGCCAATGTGAATTTAGATTTGATGCCCCATTTCATGATAAACTAGCATCACATTTGACCCCTATAGAGTCTATTTTCTAAATGATGATAACAGAGGTTAGAAACTTCAAGTATTTGAAAGGATTTTGTATAATGCAAATTGATACTGGAATTGCAAAGCAGTGATTATAATTATCTAGACGAGCCTCCTGGGGTTAGCTATAAATTGAGATTGCTACTTCTAGTTTAGCGTGTTAAAATCTTGAGCTATTTATATTGAAACAAACACAGAATTGTAGCAGATCAACATAGTGTCTGAAAGTGGAAAATTCAACCCAGAGCACAGATTTCATCGTCTCCTGCTACATCTGTGCATCATTATTTCACTGGAATGCTGGTGAGGAAAAAGCTTAACCCAGCCTCATTAAAATAATGTAGTCTTTTTCATTTGATTGATATTTTAACATTTGAAAATAAATCATAGCATTTACACTTTACTATCTTTCAGTTAGATAACTTGGGGGCACAGTTGTCTGGATGTTAGTGAATGACATTCATTTACAGAGAACTTAATTACAACCCTCCAAAGTATCCATATGACCTTCAGACGCAATACCTTATTTTGCACGTCAGCCCTGGTCTTGCCCAAATGAGTACGATAACCAGATCGTCATTAGTAGCAGTGAGATGAATGATCAGGTAATTTAGTTTAAAGGGTACCACAACACCAGGAGAATTTCTGTCTCTTCTTCAGGCATTGCTGCATGACCTTAAACATCCAGCTAAATCATTGGAACAGTCAGATGGGTCCGTAGTTAACCCACTTAGCCAGCTGTTGTAAACTAGAGTCCTTCGAGGGAATCAGTGTATGATCAGTGTATGATTAAAAATCCACCTGTTCCCTGTGTTTTTTTTTTGATTACGCCTCTATCTCCAGATTTCCTTGTATGACAGCCAATATGTTTTTCTGATTAATCGAGCTAAAATGCACAATGTAGAGTGACAGCGTTGTCCTGTCTGTATGTCCCCTCCCACCCTACATTCCTCCTACATGAGCAACCAGCAAAATGACTGCACCCAAGTTCTCACAGTAGCTATGATATAAATTTAAAATATTGAAATTGCACTGAGGTAATTGAATGGCCTGTAGTAATGTAACTTTTTTGGCTTGTTTTGGGCTACTGGGAAACTGCGACTGTCCTTGGGAGGACAAAAACAATGCTGCAGGTGATCCAGAAGTGTCCCTCTATGGATTAAGCTGCAGACTAATTGCCTTAAAATCAGCAAATGAGGAGGTGGTCGCTTGGTTCCAGGAATAAAAACTGGGACAAAATGGAAATTTGGCATTAACAATGAAGAATTGCAATAGGATTGTGACAATAAAGTATGAGCTGGTTAAAGTTTAGTGAGGCAGATTGCTTCTATTATATTTCTCTAACAATGCTGTATTGTCAGAAATGGTTTACTCACTGGCAAGTTTGATTGGAATCCAAAATATGTTTGAGTAATTGTCAACAAAATACCACAGGGAAACAATGGGCAGCTGTGTGAGCCTTTTGGCAGGTCAAGTTTTCTTTGCAGTACACTTAATGCTTAAAGTTATTGCAAAATCAACCAATTTGTAACCACAAAGAGTCCTCACATTACCATCCACTGTCTTCCAACTCTGAAAGTCACCGCTGCATTTTTGATTCTACGAAATTGGGGAATAAGTGCTTGAAACTTTCTTCTCTAAGAATGCTCAGAGAGTTGTGAGATTTGAGTTCTAGAGTGCCAGATTACCTGTCGAATTGAAGTCTGTGGTGCAGAAGGAAGCTATTCAGTCCAACATACCTGTGCAAGCTCTGGATATAACCATCATTTCCTCATGCCAATTTCCTGCATTTTCCACATACCCATATATGTTAATTTATTCCAAGTAATCATCCAATCCCCTCTTGAATGCCTCGGTTGAACTTGCCTCCATGATATTTCCAGACAGTATGATCCATACCCTGATTAATCACTGATAAAAAACATTTTTCCTCATATTACCCTTGCTTTCTTTGCAAATCACTGTAACCCAAATACATCCATGCCCTCCTGTTCTTGATCCTCTTACAAATGTGGACACTTTTTCCCTATTTACTCTATGACGATTTTGAAAAAGTCTGGCTGATCTCCTCTAAGCTTTCTTCTCCCCAAGGAGAACAGTCCCAACTTAGAGTCATAGAGGTCTGCAGCACAGAAAAAGGCCCTTCAGCCCATCAAGTCTGCATTGAGCAAAAATATACACCTATTCTGTGGTGATAGATATTGAGTACAGCGTGTATCCCACCAAGTCAAAACCTGAATGTACTTTTCCCATAAAGGTAAAGGAACCTTCCATTTAAGAGTTCTCACTGCCACCAGAAAGATCTGTTTATTGGGGCGCTCGACTCTGGAACAGTTGAGTAATTCCCTGCTGTAGTGAGTTTTATTTCTCCCCTTGCTTCTCTGATGGTGACCTAGGCTTGGGAACAGTTGCATGAGAACCAACTGCTTCATATCTCGCCACAGTGGCCTGTCTCTCTCGTGTCACTATGCACATGGGAAAGTGCACTGATACCACAACTTTAGCACTCGGGGGGTCTTCACAAACATTAAAAACTTTATCACATTCCTCAGAATGTCTAATGTACTTGTCTGGCAAACTAAGGTTAATAGTAAAAGCTGACCAGGTGATGTGATTTCATTGAACCATACAAAGCACTCAATTGATAGTCAACGTAAATGCAGGTAAGATGTTTCTTCTGGTTGGTGAGTCTAAAACCAGGGCGCATGTTTTAAAAATAAGGGATTGCCATTTAGGAGCATGATGAGGAGAAATTCTTTTCCTTTGCCTGTTCTGAATTTTTTGGAAGCTCAGTCTCCAAGTACATTTAAAGTAAAGATGAATAATTTTTTGATTATGGAAATAGTCTGGGTAAATTTCAGTGGTTAGCACTGTTGCCTCACAGTGCCAGAGACCCGGGTTCAATTCCACCCTTGGGCAACTGCCTGTGTGGAGTTTGCACGTTCTCCCCGTGTCTGCGTATGTTTCCTCCGGGTGCTCCAGTTTCCTCTCACAGTCCAAAGATGTGCAGGATAGGTGGATTGGACATGCTAAATTGCCTGTAGTGTTCGGGATGTATAGATTAGATGGGTTATAGGGGGATGGGTCTGGGTGGGATTCTCTGAGGGTCGGTGTGGACTTGTTGGGCCGAAGGGCCTGTTTCCACACTGTAGGGATTCTATGGAAAAGGCATTGAAGTTTTCAATAAGCCATTATTGTACTCACTGACAGAGCACAGCTAAATGGCCCACTCCTGTTCCTATATTCTCAACAAGAAACTACTGTTTATTACAATTAAATCAGTTCTAACCACAGACAAACAAAGCTTATAACCCTCTGACTTACACTCTACCCCTTCTTAAACCCCTATACACATGCAGACAGGCACAAGAAAACATAGATGTTGTGGATGGAGTCACAAATGTTAGCTTATAAACTAAGAAACACGTCAGTCACGATCAAATCAAACAGGATGGTGGGGCAGGGGAGCAGGGCAATGAACAGCTTATTCATGTCTCTATGTCCTTAAAGCCCAGTGGGTGTAAATTCCTGAATACCAGAAAATCTTGGAGATCTTTCTACTGTTTGTTTTATTTTTCTGCAAACTGACAGAATGCAGGGGTCAAGGAAATACCAGGAACTGTCCTGTGTGCATTTGCTGCCTCTGAAAGGATCTCTACTTTAAAAATGCTTTGTCATTGGACTCCCGTAGCAATCAAGAAAACCTGTTGCATCACTTCCATTTGGCCATGGTGCCCATTTCTTCATACCTGGTGTGTTTGAATCTCATTTTATAATCACACCAATCTTGAATCAGCATTGCTGTCAAAGTCTCAACAAAATATTTAATACTTCCTTCAAAAAGCAACAAGCATTTTCTTAATTAAACTTCTGAAACAAATTGATCCTGAGTGGTTCTTGGTGGAGACCTTTCTTACAGCATACTGAAGTAACAATCTATGATTGGCTTTCTCAGTTTTTGAGTGTTTGGTGTATTTTGAAAATTGTCAATCGACATTATCACCCACATTAGATAAATGATCAGAATGACTTAATTTATTGGTAAGTTCTCAAATTAATATTTTAATGACTGCACCAAATTAGTGTAGACAGACATGAATGCATTAGAAGCAGCTCAGTGAAGGTTTACCAGACTAACAGTTGGAATGAGTGGATTGCCTTATGAGGAAAGGCTGGATAAGCTAAGCTTCTTTGCCGCCTAGGGTTTAAAAGAGTCAGAGATGACCGAGTTGAAATATATAAGGGAGATCCTGAGGGGACTTGACTGGGTGGAGGTTGAAATGATGTTTCCTTTTGTGGGAGAATCTAGGAAATAAGGAGCACCAATTTAAAACAGACTCTTTGGAATTCCTGAAAAGACCGTGCATGTGGAATCTTTAAATATTTTTTAAGGCAGAGTCTGACAGATTCTTGATTACGAAGAGGATGAAAGATTATCAGAGATATGCAACAGTGAAGCGTTGAGATCAGAATCCGATCAACCATGACCTTATTGAATGGTGGAGCAGGCTCAAAGGGCCGAATGGCCTCCCTCTTGTTCCTTGCTGATATGTTCGTATTAGCCATTATGCTTAAACTGGTGCACGGAGGAGATGAATCTTTAACCTTATTCACACCTGTTCGTCTACTTTTCAGAACTTCAATCAATCTTTCTCTTTATCCCACTGTAGAATTGATCGGAAGATGTCTGGAGGACAGAGCAGTTATGAGCTGAAAGAGGCCAAAGCCATCTTAAGTGAGCTGAAAACCATCAAGAAGGCCATCAGTACTGGCGAGAAAGAGAAACAGGATCTGATGCAGGTACGGGAGGGGTTTGAATTAGACTTGTAAATTGAAATTTATGTTTTGTGTCATTTACTGGAAGCTGCCATTTGCTAGAAGCTGTAACCTTTTGCCTTTTGCTTCAGCATATTGATATTGTATATTGTCTGTTATCTATTGTTCCTTCTGACTTGCCAAAATCGTCTACCTCTCTAAGATCATCCTTGAGAACAGAAGCAATGTCAAATGCACTGTCTCCACTACAAAATGTCTCCCCAGAACATACATGAGGATATGTTCCAGGGATTGGAGTTTCTGAGTCTTTTAGACCTCAAGGTCGGATACCATCGTGGAGTGGGGCACATAGAAAATCCTAACAATTCCTCCAAATTTCTAGGATGCCCCTGAAACTCTTTATACTGTGCAGAAACTTCCCAGGCACTTGCATCAGGTTTCCTTATGTACTTTCTTCCTCTGGGGTGCCTAGCAGAGATGGGATGAAGGGAGAGCAGAAGGTAAAGGGAAATTCTCATCGATCCACATAGAGACCAATAACTTTTAAAAGAAATGTATTCACCAGCAACAGATGGAAAAAATCCAAAGAATAATTGAATGTTTTAAGATTTTTACTGTATCAAACAAACTAAATTCAACTACAATAAACATCATTTAGCAGGAAACAAATACACCAAACTACAGATAAAGTACTTATGTATTAAGTAGCTAAGGCAATTGAGGTATGTCCCAAAACTGCCCATCTTATTTCTGGAAGATTTTTTTTGATATTCATACATTGGGCATGGGCATAGCTGGCTGTGCCAATGTTTATTCCCCATGCCTACCTGCTCTTCAGAACATGCCTTCTTGAACTGTTGCAGTCCATTTACTGTAGGTACAGCCCAATGCTGAAAGGAAGGGAGTTTCAGGATTTTGACCCAGCAACAGTGAAGGGATAGCAATATATTTCCATGTCAGAATGGTGAGTGACTTGGAGATGAAGTTGCTTGACAAGAGCAAGGAGAGGCAATAGCCTGGTGGTATTAATGCTGAGCTGTTAATCCAGAAACCCAGGCAATGTTCTGGGTATCTGGGTTCAAACCCTGCCATGGCAGCTTGATGGGATTTGAATTCAATAAGTGTCTGAAATTACGAGTCTAATGATGACCATGCATTCATTGCCAGGAAAAACCCATCTGGTTCACTAATGCCCTTTAGGGAAGGAAGCTGCCATCCTGACTAGTTTGGCCTCCATGTAACTCCAGACCCTCAGCAATGTGGTTGACTCATAACTGCCCATGGGCAATAAAGGGGAAAAGAAATTCCAAAAGGAAGCATTTTAAAACATAGTTGCCCTGTAAACGTTGTTGTTTATAACAATGCGCAACTGAGCTATTTTATCAAATATTGTTTTTGTGAATGTCCTCAGTAAAATTTTTCCATTCTTTGATTCTTCCTTTGTAGAGTCTTGCCAAACTAAAGGATCGATTCCTTTCCAGCCAGAGTGTGCGAACCTTCGAGTCAGATTTGCTCTCCAATCGAACCAATTCACACCTCTCTACCTCCAGGCAATGCCTAGATGCAGGCTCACAAACGGACATCACTGGTGATGTAAGTAGTTATCCCTCCAGTGATTTCAACTCCCCATCCCACTCCCCCTCCAACATGTCCATCCTTGCCTCCTCCAGTGTCGCAGCAACTTGCAACGCACATTTGAAGAACAATACCTTATCTTCCATCTGGCCACCCTACAGCCCGGTGAACTCAACAATGAGTCCTCCAATTTCAAGTAACCTTCCCACCCATCGCCCAGCTCCCCTTCCAGTCCCGTCTCCTTCCTTCCATTACACCTTCTGACCCTCCCTTCCAGCCACCAACTGGATTCCTCCCTCCCATCGACCAACCAGGTCGTACCTACTACCAATGCCCACCTATCACCACCATTCCACCTCCAGCCCTCCCCCTCCCTCTCTTTATCTGCAGCTCCCCCTACCCCCACATCCAGTCCTGAAGAAGGATAATACCTGAAACGTTGACTGTTCCTTTCCTCCAGATGCTGCCTGGCTTGCTGTGTTCTTTCAGCCTCCTGTTTGTCTACGTTGTATTCCAGCATCTGCGGTTTCTTTGTCTCTAATTGTATTGATTAACGTCAGCATAGTTGTCAAAGTTCCTGCTGGCTTTCAAGCAATGTAAAACAATGGGTTAGAAACTTCAGACCTGTCAAGTAGGTGAATGAGAGGAAACAATAAAAGATCATACTAGAGTTGGCATCAGCCCCAGCTAACAAACCAGCTCGGTGAGCCAACCAACCACAACTTCCACAACCTGAGCTACAAATCTACTCAAGAACCTTAGCCCCCTGTTCCTTATGCTGTATAAATTGTCGTTGCTTTTAAAAGATTGGTTTTCATACAAGTGTTCTGATGAGTTCAAGATAAAAAACTTTGATGGTATGTCTCCTTTTGGAGCACATTCAAGTTGTTCATGACCAAGCAACTGTATGAGCAAGATGGTAAGACCAACATAATTTCGAATTACAGCTGTAAGACAGGGAGACATTGTCAGGACTGAAACCAAAATAGAAAATGATGGAAGATTTCAGCTAGTCCAGTGACATATGTGGAGAGAGAAACAGATTGAATAGATATTGATTTAGGGGTTTATGGTCACAATTACCGAGTATAGGCCACTGAGTATTTGTTGCAATTTTCTGGTAGTTTATTACATTTGTTAAGAAGCAGCCGATTAGATATGAAAGCATATACTGTGATAATTGGGGATTGTTCGCAGATACCAGAGGACACACAGGCTGTCAGCACAGAATGTTTCAATCTCGACAAAGTAGTCTCCTGCTCTCTAAGTACAGTGTTAGGAAACTCCTCCCTCGCTTTTCCTCCTCTTCTTGTGGTCCATTCTTCCATTTGTCTGGTGAAGTCTGCTCAATGAAGACTGCTCTCTGGGGACTGCCCAATGAGAACTGCTATTTATCCAACCTGCTCGTTGAGAACTGCCCTCTGAGAGACACTATTCTGCCCCTGGGTCTATTCTTTTCTCGATCCCTAACCTTGACATGGCTTTTCCAGCATGGGTTTGGTTTTCTTGGCCCCAATGTGGTTCTTCCAGCACAGAATTGGCCTAGCCCCTGAGGGTGTCCCTGGTATTTCTTGTCCTCAGTACACCTTTCTCCACCTGGCACAAATTGCCCATCTCTCCTTTGTGAGGATAATGCAAGTCAGTCCTATAATGTAAGACTGGGGTCACATCTAGAGGTGGCAAGTACTGGTTTGTTTAATCACAATTTGACAGGTTTCAATGCCTATTTTCCTGATACTGACCACCAGTTTCTCAGATTTATAGAATTTGACCGCACAGTCTGCTGCATTTTGAACTGATGGGTCGTTAGTTCAGAACTAGAATCATTTGGACGCAATAAACTCAATCTTATCTGATTATAAAATGCTGTGCTCACAGAAGTGTTGATGCAAATCATCATATTTTTTACCTGAGCGTTAACGTCCTCATCAGTCAGTCAGCCTTGATTTGTTTCACACTTCCATCGTTCTAGTTTGTAATATGCTAATTCTCAGTCCTGATCATTACTTTACTTTATGTTGCATTATGAAATCTGTTCAAGTTAGGGATATTAATCAGTTCAAACAAATTAATTTGACACCTGAAACTTTCTCTGGGTTGCAATGTTACCTAATCAAATTACAGCTAAGTTTTTTTTTAAGTTCCTTTAATCTCTTAATTGGTCATTTTACTACTGGACAGATTCTTAACTAACAAGGAAGTCAAACTGTATCAAGGCTGGCCAAGATTGTGGAAATGAGGCCATAATCAGATCAGCCATATCCTTATTAAAAGACAGACCAGGCTCAATGGGCCAAATGGCTTATTTCTGCTCCCAATTTGTATGTTCAAATGTACTTCATCTGATGTCTTCTTCTGTTTGGGGCGGCACAGTGGTTAGTACTGCTGCCTCACAGCGCCAGGGACATGCATTCGATTCCACCCTCGGGCGACTGTCTGTGTGGAGTTTGCACATTCTCCCCGTGTCTGTGTGGGTTTTGTCTCAGAGTCCAAAGGGGTACAAGTTAGGGAGATTGGCCATACTAAATTGCCCATAGTGTGCAGGCTAGATAACCATGGGAAATGCAGGGTTACAGGGATTGGGTGAGATGCTCTTCAGAGGGCCAGTGCACACTCGGTGGGCCGAATGGCCTGCTTCCATACTGTAGGGATTCTGTGATTGCCTTCTAGTTGATCCTGATTTAGTCTCCCAGCTTTGGTAATATAGCAGCAATTCACCCTGCTTTCATTTGGCATACTGTGACTGAATCACAGAACGTTAAATTCTCCAGCCCAGAGGGCTATGAAAGCTTAATCACTAAGGTGGAGATTGACAGATTTCTACACACCTATGAGGTAAAGAGATGTGCAGATGGTGTGGGAAAATAGAATTGCAGTGAATGACCGGCCGTGATCTCATTTTGAATGGCAGAACAGAGAACAGGCTCAATGGGCTGAATGGCCTACTCCTCCATCTGTGTTCCCATGTTACAGCACAGGAACAGGCCATTCAATCTTTAAAACTCAACAGGGCTTTCCATGAGCCTCTGAATCACATTTAATTCTCCTGCTCACTTCTCATGCTGCTTATTTTTTCCCGTTCTCAAATAATTATCTTTGCCCACTTAAAATGCTTGATAGACTAGACTGCCATTGGCATTTTCTGGCAGGAAGTTTTACGTTCCGTCTACCCTCCATATGAAGAACCTTTCTTCATTAATTCTTATCAATTATATTTTGTGGTAACATTAGATTTATTACAGTCTTGTTAACTAGTAAAAAAAGTCTCTTGCTATCTTATCGCAACTAGTGATTGTCCCAAAGTCTTTGATTAGGTTTTCCCTGCACCCTTTGGATTTCTCTTATCTCTGCAACCTCCTACAGCCCTATGCCCCACTGAGATACCTGCGCTCCTCCAATCTGTTTTATTGCATATCCCTGATTTTCATTCATCCACCACTGGCTGAAGACGCCAAGACCCTGAACTCTGGGATTGCTTCCCTGCCTCTCGACCTTGCTTTCCTTTATGTTACTGCTTCAAACCTATCACTTTATCATTTTGAGTTACCTGCCTTAATATCTCTCTATGCTTCAGGGTTAGATACTGTGACTGGTAACATTGCTGCAAACACCTTGGAGTATGTTTTAGTACAACATAAATGCAAATTGTTATTGGAAAAATCCCAAAACATCTCCTTCCAGCTGTACCTCTTCATTAGTTATGATTTACAGGTCTGACCTTCTGACCCTCCTTTTTTTTTTACACGTACTGTGCATAATTGGATCCACTGATTAAGTTGAACATAGAGTTATAAAGCATGAAAACAGACCCTTCAGTCCAACTTGACCACACTGGCTGAACATCCCAAACTGGCCTAATCCCATTTGCCAGCATTTGGCCCATATTCCTCTAAGCCCTTCCTATTCATATACCCATCCAGATGCCTTTTAAATGTTGTAACGGTACCAACCTCCACCACTTCCTCTGGCAGCTCATTCCATACACGCACCACTCTCTGCGTGAATAAGTTGCCCCTTAGGTCCCGTTTAAATCTTTCCTCTCTCAGTACCCTTGGAAAAAGACCTTGGCTATTCACCCTATCCATGCCCCTCATGATTTTATAAACTTCTATAAGGTCACCCCTCAGTCTTTGATGCTGCAGAGAAGAAAGCTCCAACCTGTTCACATTCTCCCTATAACTCAAACTCAGTGTCGTAGCAGATGTTTCCTGATAGTCCATTCAGTTAATTTTAGCAGGCTCTGTAACTCTCAAGCTTCCAGAAAGAGTGCTGTTTTAGAAAATGAATAATGTTCTAAATTTGTAGTCTGTACAGATGTAGTTAATCACAGGAACCTGGGAATACTGGCCTCAGCATCCTTAGGCTGGGAGAGATGATATCAGCCCTACTGAGCCTGCTCCTGATGCTCTTTCTGTGATCCTATCTGGAAAATATGACAAATTCACAACTTTGTACGAGAACAGAATGAACCTGGGTTGTGTTGCAGATGAAGAGACTGCCAACCCTGAGCCCATGCCTGTACGTGAAGTATAAGTCACTCAAGGGCTGCTGGTCTCTTTGGAATCCTGTGCTGGAATAAACCACATGAGGACTTTGGTGTTGCATATATTTTTTCTGACAGGCACCCTCTGCTGACACTCCAATCCATTTGGCACACTAAATGTTCGTTGTAGATAGGAGGTAGTTTTCCCTCACTTGTTATCCAATTATGTATGAAATTAATTTCTTCAGAAAGCAGTCTGAGCAACGTGTTCCCTCGAGTCATGTTTGCACTTTCACTACAATTAGGACTTGCTATCTGATCACTGGAGCATTTGCTGATGGCATTGTAAGCATATGACGATAAATCCGAGTCATGTGTGGGTCAAGCTTCAGAGTAAACAGCTTAGGGCATAGATTTGAGACATGATCTGATATTTTATTCACTGGAATGCTAATTGAGTAGAAGTTTTAATCGCTTTAAGGCCAGTCCCTGCAAGGACTCTCAGTTCATGTGATGTTTGCCAGCTTCAGATCAGATTGACCCCAGTTGCCTTTATCATGTTCTGATTGTGACTGTTTGGCCAAAAGTGAAGACGCTTCATAACCCAAGAGTGGAAATGCAATTACTTTGCAACTCACTACTTACTTGAAAACACTGTATGTTATGTAGTTTTCAAATAATAAATCACTAGAAGTAGTTATGAACTATTTAGCTTTGAACTAATAGTTATAAACAGTCTTTCTGTTGACTAGTTGGGGGGGGTTGTGTTTGTTCTACACTGTCCACTGGGTTAAAAAGCCATTGGTAACCCATGTGTGTGCATTTGTTTCTTCATCTGCCTCATTTGCTAACAAAACCAGCGGTGGGAAAATGGGATGTCTGTAGCACATTTAGTCAGTGGACTGGATTTGAATGACTTACTACTATTGGGCGATTAACCAGCAACATTCACGTGGTTTGTCAAAGCGTGACGTTAACACTTCAAACTAACGATAAGCTTGGACTTTTGTAGCGTCAATTTGGACCAGCAGGTCTTTAGAAATAATGCACTTGAGCCAAATCTCAGGATTACCATCCTGTTTCCTGTATCTGACAGTTTTGTGCCAGAGAGGAATAAGTTCAGATATCAAATGAACCCACAGGCTGCATTCCAGCCATGGCTAGCCCCATTGCAGGGAGGCCATTTCAAAACCCCACCAACCCCAGCAAAACCCACCCAGTTTTGATGATGATGGGTCTGTTTTGTTGAAAACTATGGGTTACACCAACGCGCAGGAGTTGTGGCAGACCCCTATTCCTGAGGGGGGAGAAAAGACAACCCTTTAATATTCCCTTTGAATTATACTGGCCCTTTAATCTTCTCACAAAGCTGTCATCAAATACCATGTACTTTATACCAACTTCTAAAAGCTTGAATCCACTTCCCACCCTGTTATTTGTATAAATAAGCACAACGGCATTGAAAAAAATCTCTTCAAAGAAAGATCATGTTATTATAAGGTAATAAGGAGATCAGTCAAAGAAAGCTAGTATTCCCTTGCAAGCTGTGTCAATGTTTCCTACAAGGTTGAGTTAATTTCGAGCCTTGGAGCTCAGTTAAGCATTCCTAATAATGCCATCTGGAAATAAAAACAGATGTCTGGCTATCTGTTCAAACTTATTCTCTTTGTAACATTACCAATGAGAAAGAGAATGGAGGGATCATGGCGTGGGTGTGAGTGAATGAATATGATGGGCAAGGGATTGACAGCCTGAAAGTCATGAATACAACTGAACCAATGTCCCAGTGAATGGAGGTGGGCTTTATCTTGTGTCAGCCTCACCATCTTCCCACATCTGCTCCTAGGATGTTTGCTATCCCTCTTATGAAGGTATAGTGTTTTATTGGCCATGCCACGTGAAAATGGGCACACCTTGGAAACCAGCCACCATACCAGTGATTAATATTTATTGACTTCACTTGGAATTTGATCGCAGCAAACAATTCTGTATTGAAAATCTTGAAACATGGCTACAAGCTGCTTCATGCCTTGTATTGCGCAACTGCTTTGAGTATTCTTTCAAAAAAATCATGTCATTAAAGAGAGAAAGAATTTTAAGAATATGTAACCAAATTTTATTTAAATTTTCTTTTCTAGTTTGGTCCAAGGAGCCGAGCCAATCTGGCTGAAAAAGTCAGGTTAAGTCTTCAGTATGAAGAGGCAAAGAGAAGGTAGATATTCCTTAGATGATGAATTTTACTGTTTTGTACATCTTTTGTTGCATAGTCTGTCATCAGAAGGATCAGTGTGGAAGGGAGAAGTTTCTTTTCCACTTTCCATTGGTAGATATCGATAAGATCTTTTAGAATTTGGTTCCTTTGACTCAAACTGAAGTTGGCATTATGAAACAGTAGGTTAATGACCAATTCTAGTTTTCCCATGCACAGTCTAGGGGTAGAAAGATTCTACTCCCTGTAACGTAGTATCAATGTCCAGCAATTTTAGAATGAGTGCCCAGGAGGATTAGCGGAAACCCCCAAATTGCTGTGCACGTGATTGAAGCCAATCTGCATATCCAATGAGGACCCTTTGATAGGTATTATAATTTAAAATTGTAGTTTGCCAGATCGCGTGGGATTAGCAGTGGGTTAGTCTTCCACTCCATGTTGTCTGCCAAGCTGGTGGGCGGGAGGAGGAGTACTCTCTTGAAATAAAGTCTGATGGGCAATAGAAATATTTCAATTAGATAGCATAAAAATTTAAGAATTAACATTTTAGCTAAGACAGAACATGAAAGCTAGAGCCCTTTGTTGTTTGTTCTTTGTATATACTGCTTTTGCAAGAGATGAGATTTTATTGCACAATGTAATTATTTTTACAGCTGTCAAAATTAAAGCTTTGCATGTGTCAGACATATATTTTGGTCCTGGGCAATTTGTCATGACTGTACATCGACCTTTTTGAGTTCAGGGTTTAGAAAGGGAGAAATCCTTTGTCTCAAACAAAAACTGAAATTGCTGGAAAGGCTCAGAAGATATGGCAGCGTCTGTGGAGAGAAATCAGGGTTAACATTGTGGGGTTCAGTGACCCTACTTCAGAACCTCTCTGCCTCATCTGAATGAGGTTTGAAGCTGTAGTACCAGAAACAAGATGGGATTGATTCGCGTGTGGGTAACACTCCCTGTACATGACCTTGTGTCTGTGGCAGGAAAATTCTTCTGGTAGAAGTAAACAATAGGAAAGCACCTCACTGTGGTGATACCATAATGCAAAAAAAATGGTTCAGCGAGACCCAATTTTGAAGGTTATACACTGTAGTTCGTTCCAGTGGAATGATTCACAGATGGTAAACTTTCTTTATTGGACTCTATTTAACATGATTCTCCATAACATTAGTTTTTGCATCAGTTTCTCTCAATTTGTAGTAGCCACAGAACTAGTTTGCAACATTTTAGGTGAAGAATTTCACACAATGTGAAGTAAAAGGGTTAATACACATTTGTGGCAGATTATTTAATGCAAAATAATGTCTCGAGCTTTAATTGTGCAAAAATAGTTGTATTGTGTTATAAAAGTTTTATCTCTTGCAGAAGAACTGTATATAAATATATACAATGTATGCTGTTTAAAGGTGTAAGGGTCTGAAACAGTTAATACTGAGGAGTGCATGAAGCATTGCTCAAACTGATGATGTCACGTGGATTTGGACAGGAAAGTAGCTATGGATCTTGAAGGAGTGTAACCTAATGTTGAGGTCTCCCTCATAGTTTCAGTTAGAATGTCTATTATACCAATGTAACATATACCTAATTGCCATTATGCAGTAAACACCACCTCATTTAAGAGGAGAGCCTCTTCTCATGTGTTTAGGTAAAGTAACTACAGTCCTACCAGGCCATAGATAGCATTGTGCTGCTGTCATATCAAGGAGAAACAACTCTGGTGGCTTAACCTGAAAATTACCATACCTCAGACCAGGGGAGCAGTTGAGAAGGAGAGTCCTTCACAGTAACCTCAGGGAGTCAGCTGGTACAGGAATTGAACTCATGCTGCAAGCATTATTGTGCATTGCCAGCCAGTCGTCCAGCCATATGATCTAACCAACACCCTCTCCTTTGAGCACCAAGTAGTTTTCCTCTAACACTCAAGATCAAACAGGCCCTGTAGGCCCCTGCCAGGAAAGAGAATGGTGGCAGCCAATCTGTCATAGATTGACAGTGAGGATTCATCTTGCAAAAAAAGCTATATATGTAAAGGAATAGATTTAGGAGAAACTTTTTACTTTAAGTTCTGTCATACTTTTAATTTTAATTACTTATATCTGATGCTTTCTATTGAGATATTTCTGTGGTGCATATTCCATTGAATTTTAAGAGTCTGTCTCTCTACTTCCTCATCCCTACACTTGTTGGTTAAAATGGAGCGAGAGATTTAGCCACTGTTTTCCTACCCTGGTCTGACTAGCTGCAATTGCAGGGGACAAGAACACAGACTCCAAGTGAACAAGGTCTCTGTTAAATATGCAGATTGGCTCCAGTGATGTGCTCATCACTTTGACAACTTACGCCAATCTCCAGGACTCCCGTTCTGACATTGCTGGGAATTTCTACTTCATTACAGGCTGCAGAATCTTCCTTCCCTTTTAGCAGTGAATGGGAAAAAAAACTGAATCGTTCACTAACCCACTGTTTGGCGATTCTGTGAATGTAATTGTGCCTGACAGATTTTAGAAATTCTATAAATTCTGTAAATACTCCAAATCTTTTCATAAGTGCCCAATTTACTTATACTTCTGTCCATGGTGTAAGAAGTTGTTATTCTCTCAGCCTGTACTGGCCAATCCCCTATTATCTTTTCTGTTTGTGTTCTTTGGGTCATTCTCACTTCTTTACACTTCTGCAACCTTTCCATGGGGTCGCCCATTTAAGATGCAGTTAAGGAGGGTTTTTTTCTGTCTGTAAAAGGGCTGTGAGTCTTTGAAACTCTTCTCCAGAGAGCAGTGGAGGCGAGGTCATTGAACATTTTTAAAGCAGAGGTGGTGGGATGTTTTACTCACAAGGGAATCAGTAGTTATTGGAGTTTGGAGAATATGGAATTCAGGGCACAATCAGATCCAGCAAAGTCTGAGTGGCATGTTGGCTCAGTGTTAATGCTATTACCTCATAGTGCCAGGGTACCTGGGTTCAATCCCATCATTGGTTGACTATCTGTGTGGAGTTTGCATGTTCTTCCTGTTTTTGTGTGGCTTTCTTCTAGGTGCTCTAGTATCCTCCCACACTCCAAAGATGCGCAGGTTAGGTGGGTTGGCCATGCTAAATTGTCCCGTAGTGTCCAGGGATGTACAGGTTAGGGGAAAATACAGGGATAGAGCAGAGGGGTGAGTCTGGGTGGGATGCTGTTCAAAAGGGTGGTATGGACTCAATGGGTTGAATGGTCGGCTTCCACATAGATTCTATGGTTTTATTGAATGACAGCATAGGCAAGAGGGGTAGAATGGCATACTTGTGCTTCTTATTTGTAGGTACCTATCTATCTGCAGTTCTTGGATGTGTGCAAAAGTACCAAAAATATGAGTCTTTCTGCTAACATGAAACAGACAAACTGTAATAACACAATGTTGTTATTATATTTCCTTTATTTCAGAATAGCAAACATAAAGATTGAATTGTCGAAGCTGGACTCTGATGTCTGGCCAGGGATGCTTGATGTTGAGCGAGACAAGCTGATGTTGATTAATGAGAAGGAAGAACTGCTGAAGGAACTGCAGTTTGTGACCTTGCGGAAATACTCCCGGGATGACTTAATGCGACTGGAAGCAGAGAGGAAGCGGTTGGAAGAGGAGCTGCATTCTGCACCAAACACACCCAGTGAAGCACTGGCTGAGAGGTCTGAGAGCCTAGGGATCCTTTAGAGCAACATAAGGGTATCTGAGTCGCTTCTTAGCGTCATAGAGATATACAGCACAGAGTTAGATATCCTAAATTAATCTCGTCCTATTTGCCAGCATTTGGCCCATATCTCTCTAAATCCTTCCTATACAAATACCCATCCAGATGCCTTTTAAATGTTGTAATTGTACCAGCCTCCACCACTTCATATGGCTGCTCGGTCCGAACATGCACCACCCTCTCCGTGAAAATGTTGTCCCTTTGGCCCCTTTTAAGTCTTTCCCCTCTCACCTTAAGCCTATGCCCTCTAGTTTTGGACTCCCCCACCCTGGGGAAAAGACCTTGGCTTTTCATTCTATCCATGCCTGTCTTGATTTTACAAACTTCTATAAGGTCACCCCTCAGCTTCCGACGCTCCAGGGAAAATAGCCCCAGCTTATTCAGCCTCTTCCTGTAACTCAAACCATCCAACCCTGGCAACATCCTTATAAATCATTTCTGAACCCTTTCAAGTTCTTGTTAAATATTGTTGGGAGGAACGAAGGATGCAAGAAGAGAGATCTGCAGGACAGATCCTTGAAGACAAATCAGGTTAACACAGAAGTTCATGAAGCAAATGGGATGTTGAGCTTTCTGAATAGAGGACAAAGGAGAAAAAACAGAAAATTGTGCCAAACCTGTATCAGACACCAATTTGACCCCAGCTGGAGCCTGGTGTCTAATCTTGGGTACCACAATTTAAGAAAACTATGAAGGCCTTAATAAGAGTACAGAAGAGATTTAATCATATATTTTCAGCAATAAAGAATTACAGATATGTGGATAGACTGGAGAAGTTAGGATTATGCTCCATTGAGCAGAGAAGGGCAAGAGGAATCATGCTAGGGTTGTTTAAAACCGTGAAAAGAACTAAAATCTATTGCCAGTGGCTGAAAGGTTGATAAACAGAAAGTACAGTGTTGAGGGTATTCACAAAATAAACATAGGTGACATGAGGAAACGCTTTATTACACAAGAATGATGTGGAGGTGCCTGTGTTGGACTGGGGTTGATAAAGTCAAGAAATCACATGACACCAGGTTATAGTCCAACAGCTGTGCCTGTGCACTTCCCTGCACTTCACATGATGAAGGAGCAGCGCTCCGAAAGCTTGTGATTTCAAATAAACCTGTTGGACTATAACCTGGTGTTGGGTGACTTCTGGCTTTATACAAGAATGGTTAGGACTTTAAATACACTGCCTGACAGGGTGCTGGATACAGGCTCAATATAGCCTTCAAAATAGACTTGGATAAACTTGAAGGAAAAGTCATTGTAGAGTATATGAGAAGCAACTGGGTTGTGTTCAGAATAGCTGTAGCAAATTTAATGGGCCAAATAGGCATCTTCTAAACTGTGCTATTTCTGTGATTCTATGATATCCATATTCAATTCATCTTAAGTACAAGAGAGAATAAGGCACAGATATGATGGCATGAGGATTGGAAAAGATTTTTATAAACATTGTTTATGCTGATGCTTTTGTGTTTAGTTTATACATTGTGTTTCATAGATGTAGCAATTTATTGAGGCCAATCTATTGTTTCTTTTTTTTTCAGACTAAAATTACACGAGAAGAGGAAAAGGCTTGTGCAGCATCTTGAAGATACAACACAACTAATCATGTATCTACATTCCCAACTTAAAAGGTATGTGTTCCTATTGAAACTCATGGAGGATTCAAACATTTACTTTCAACCAGTTATAAATTTGTACTGAACATTATCAAAAGAACGATTATCTGGAGATTTCTCACTTTTCAATTTGTTTTGTTGGTCTGAAGTCCTACCCCAAAGTCACATGGGAATTGTACCTCACACTACATGCAGCTTTCAAACTCTGTCACCTCCATCAATCCTCCTATTCATTGCTCTCCCAGCAAGTCAATAGAATTGTTTTGCATAAATACAGAAAATGTACAGCAGCAGTCAGCCAATATCTGATCCTGTTTCATTCCTGGTTTACTAACTGGGGGTTAACAGCTTGTAAAGAGAAAAAGAACCTTCATTTATTTAGCCATGATTCTGACACAGAATGTCCCGTTCTCTTCCGATGTAGTTGTTGTTGGAATGTAGGAAATGTGGCTGCCAATTTGCGCGCAACAAAATCCCACAAGCAGGCAAAGAGCTGATCATCTGTTTCATTGAGATTGGCTGAGGGCTAAATCTTGACCAGGGCATCAAGGAGAATTCTGCTGCTTTACTTCAAAGTGGGATTTTTCATATCCAACGGAGAGGGCAGATGGAACCTCTTTATAACCTCCAACCGTGTAGCACTCTTTCAGTACTGCACAAAAACATCAGATTGGATTATGCATTCAAATTTCCAGCACGGGACTTGAACTCACAGCCTTCAGATTCACAACAAACATGCTGCCAACACTGCCACAATGTAACACAAATACCTGTGAGATACAGGCCCAGGTACATGGGACAAAAACTCTGAATTCAAAATCAGCTGAGATTCAATCAGTGTGATGTTTACCAAGTTATCATGAATCTGTATTTCATTGTGCTTTGTTCTCCCTTCAGACACTAAAGTAATAGATGACTGCAACACACAAAGTTCTTGTTTGCTGCTTCAAGAGTTTCCAAACTGTCCTATAAGATTAACAATAATTGTTGTTTTTTACTCTATGTCAAATCCATCTTGTTCTTGTATTTTATGGACTAGAGTCTCACATAGAACATAGAACAGTACAGCACAATACAGGCCCTTCAGCCCACAATGTTGTGCCGACCTATTATCCTACTCTAAGATCAAACTAACCTGCATACCCTTCATTTTACTATCATCTATGTGCCTACCCAAAAGTCGCTTAAATGTCCCTATGTATCTGACTCTACTACCACCATCGGCAGCGCATTCCATGCACCTACCACTCTCTGTGTAAAGAACCTACCTCTGACATCTCCCCTACACCTTCCTCCCATCACCTTAAAATTATGCCCCCTCGTAATAGTCATTTTCGCCCTGGGAAAAAGTCTCTGACTATCCACTCCATCTGTGCCGCTCATCATCTTGTGCACCTCTATCAAGCCACCTCTCATCCTTCTTCACTCCAATGAAAAAAGCCCTAGTTCCCTCAGCCTTTCCTCATAAGACCTGCCCTCCAGTCCAGGCATCATCCTGGTAAATCTCCTCTGCACCCTCTCTAAAGCTTCCACATCTTTCCTATAATGAGGTGACCAGAACTGAACACAATATTCCAAGTGTGGTCTAACCAGGGTTTTATAGAGCTGCAGCATAACGTCACAGCTCTTAAACTCAATTCCCCTGCCAATGAAAGCCAACACACCATATGCCTTCTTAACCACCCTATCAATTTGGGTAGCAATTTTGAGGGATCTGTGGACATGGACCGCAAGATCCCTCTGTTCCTCCACATTGCCAAGAATCCTGCCATTAACCCTGCATTCTGCATTCAAATTCAACCTTCCAAAATTAATCACTTCACACTTTTCTGGGTTGAATTCCATCTGCCCCTTCTTTGCCCAGCTCTGCATCCTATCAATGCCCTGTTGCAACCTACAACATCCCTCCACGCTGTCCACAACTCCACCAACCTTCATGTCATTGGCAAACTTACTAACCCACCCTTCCACTTCCTCATCTTTAATTAGGTTAGACTCACAAGACATGGCATCCAATTTCAATCCAGTTTTTGCATGAAGTTGCAATTTTTAATATTGTTTTTCAAATGTTTGCTGCCACCATTTATTGTTTTAATCCTTAACCCCTACCTTTTGCTACAGTGTTCACCTCTTCCTCCTGACTGGAATTCCTGTCTGTTAATATAGAGCTTCAGGTGATCCTTGGCAGAGGACTCAGTCCAGTCCTGCCTTCTCTCAAAGGGTCACTGGACCCAAAATGTTAACTCCACAGATTTCTCTCTTCAGATGCTGCCAGATCAGCTGAGCTTTCCCAGCAATTTCTGTTCTTGTTCCTGGGTGCAGGACAGTGATCAGGCAACCAGAGAAATCCTGGTCCACCTGCCTGCCCTGTGCCACAGCTCTGGCCAAGGTCAGCTCACTTGGCCCAAGTTCAATTGACAGCAGCCTTCTTTGATTCTTTTGTGAGGTGTGCACTTCGCTTGCTGGATCAGCATTAATGGCCTATCCCTAATTGCCCTTGAGAAGGTGGTGGTGAGCTGCCCTCTTGAACCGCTGCAGATCCTGCTTTGTACATCTCAGCAGTCAGTGAATTACCTTTTTGGGACATGTGATGTCAAACGTATCTAATAAAAGATAACGGATACTCTTTGGGGGAATTCAGAGCTCTAATCAATAATTGGCTACAGAGGAAACTTATAAAACAGCTTGAATTCTGGTCTCCATGTTTCTGATGCCTTTGATCAGCTTGTACTCCTGTAGTCACTTTCAGGCAGAAATTCCCAGTGATACCCAGATTTAGGAAAGAATTTGATAAGTAAGTGCTACTGTTGCCGCTTCTCTCCCTTGCGCATGTATCACAAATTGGACCTTCTGGTGTTTCGCACTGACGACACCATGCTCACGGTCCACTGTATTCAACTGAAGAGATATGGGCTGTGCTCTTTTTAAATAAAGCAGCCAGTCCTGAGATTGTTAACATCGTCGAAATATCGTGTTACTTCAAGTTTAAGAATCTAAGTCTATAAACAGGCAAACGAGTTCTGGGGGAAGAAGCATTTTGCAAAGCTGTAACAGGCCCATTTTATTAATAGGTCAAATTGAAGAATCCTCCACATTTAGTGAGAAATAATTCACATGAGAACTGCTAAAGAAATATTAAACATGTGTAATCATTTAAACTAATACCATAAGAAAACTACTTGTTCTTCTTGCTATTTTTGAGCAAAACCATAGGCCTGATGTTGCCAGAATTAGCAAATCATGGAAATCTTTCCCTTTCCCCTTTCCCAGTTTAAGGCAATACTACACTGGGCACAAAGTGATTGAAGGACGAGCTGGACGTTCACTTAGAGATCCATAGTTAATCTTGATCAGTAGACTCAGGCATGAACAGTATACTGGGAGGTCATTTGGCCCATCATAGACAGGTCACAGCAAAGATCTGACCACACTCATACTGTTTTCCTGGACGCTATGCCATCACAAGTGAATTTCTTAATACTGTTCAAATATTATAATAGTTTTTGATTGAACCATCCGTTCAGGATGAGTTCCAGACTCCCACCACCCTCTGAGAGAAAAAAAAATTCTCATCTTAGCCTTTTATCCACATTAAATCTATATCTCCTGGGTATTGACCTCTATTAATGGAAAAAGTGCCTTCCTATCCATCCTATCCATGCCCCTCTTAATCTTGTATTACCTCTATCTGGACCCCTCCTTCGCTTCACAGTTTTAATACCCCATTATATACTATGGAAATAGTTGCTTTCCATGTTGTGGTGTGGAGTCTCCTTGCTGTAATTAAACATAATTGTTTGCACCATATTCTGGGAATTGAAATGAAACAATTTTAAATTATGATCTGTAGGCTCAAACGCTTTATTTTGACACTGGAGGTTTGAAATTGTCCCATGATATTCACAGTTAAATGTTCGTTGGCACCGTATTAATGACTTGCTGCTGTACCTTTGGGGACTAGTCCACACTGATCAGTGTTTTCAGAAGGTTATAGTTACTTATTTCCACATAACTCATTAAGTCATACTATAAAGAGTTGGAATTTATGAAGAAATATTTTTAATGGTAGTGTATTCATAGACATGCAAAATGGTACATGGAAAATTAACTCCTTCTTCCCCTGTGCTAGTAACATTGTTGAGATTTATGAAGCAGCCCAGAGGCAGTGCTATTAATAAGCAACTCACTATTAAAACTGAGTTACCCTGGTTACGGATTTGTCGACGCACTGTCATGAAAGCATTTCTCACTTAATGTATCTCCCTCATTTACAGCCTTTCAGCCAGCACACTGTCCGTGTCGTCCGAGAGCAGTCTGGGGTCTCTGACGTCCAGTCGAGGGTCGCTCAACACTTCCAGTAGAGGATCTCTAAACTCGCTCAGTTCCACCGAGCTTTACTACAACCAGTCAGATCAAACACCTGACCTGGACTACCAGTACAAACTCGACTTTATGCTACAGGAGAAAGCCAGCTACAGTCCTTCGGGGCCCATAACCACCATCCATGAGAACGAGGTGACCAAATCCCACAAAAAGCCAGCCTTTGAGGACTCCGCTGAGTCCTCTGCTTCGGGACTCGCTGTGAAATCCTTAGTTGAGCCTCCCAAATCGGTAACCTCGTTGTCGTCCAGGTCCTCGCTGTCTTCTTTGTCTCCTCCCAGCTCACCGCTGGTCTCGGATGCAGCGTTTCTGTCTTCAGCGCAGGTGTCACCTTTGCATCACCTCACGGCTGACTTCGAAGACTGTGAATTGCACCGTGGTTTCTCCAGTCTGGGCCTCTACGGCAACAGTGACAGCCACGTACTGCTGCAGCCTGAGCAGGCCAGTAGGACTCAGCCACCCTACCTGAGCATTGTGTCTGACATTCGGAGCAGAACTGGACCATACCTGAATGAGGTTACAGGCCTCAATGATGAATTGGCAGTCCCTCTTTGTACCCTAAATGAAGGCATTGCAGGTAAGGGAGTGTCATCATTCAGAGGTAAGAGTACAGTGCACTTTGGGACACTGAGCCTCCACACCGTCTGCCTCTTGCTGCTGTCTAAAGTAAACTTAAACTATTTTCCAACACTTTCGGTTCTGAAGAGCAATCGTACTGGAACTCTGTTTCTTTATACACAGACGCTGCCAGACCTGCTGGTTTTCACTAGCATTTTCTGTGTTTGTTAGAAGAGTTTGATGATTGGCTTAGATGTTGACTTGGTGAAGAGCCATAAAAAGTGCCACAGAATCCGAAAGACTGGGAAGGTCCCAGATCAATCCGTGATTTCTGATGAGTTAGTTGACCTCAATCATTGGGTTGCTTCAGTTGGCATCTCTGTGCCAGGTTAATGTGGAAGGGGGCTGTGTAGCAGGAATTGGCACAGTGGAAATTAAGTCAATTGGGCGTCCCGTTTGATAGCCACTGACTGCTGCTGGAAATTGGGTGTACGCGAGAATTGGGTGAAGACAGGGTCTGGTTCATCAGTGATGCACTGTATGCTTAAATGCCCAGGCAACTTGCAGGGCTCAAGCCTCAATAGCATAGTGCAGCAGAACCATAGCATTTCCCCTCTTGCCCGTCCTGTACAACGGTCAGCTCTGATGCTACATCTGTCACTCTGTCCTCCCATCACCCAAAGTCAGGAAGTTACATGGAAGTAATTGTTCCATTCATTTTCCCTTTAAGGAATAGCTGGTCTTCAAGAAGAGTATATTGGCTGTAGCATTTCAAAGTTAACAAGAAACTTGGAAATACTGTAAACTGTGATGAGGACAGTGTAGAACTCCAGAAGATCTTTGACAAGTTGGTGGAATGGGTTTCAATGCAGGGAATTGTGAAAAGATGCATTTTTGTTGGAAAAACATTAAAAGACAATAAAAACTAAGGGATACAATTCCAAGGAGGGGTACAAGAGCACAGGGAACTGGGTGTATATGTGCTCAGATCATTGAAGGTGGCAGGACAGTTGGGGAGAGCAGTTAAAACGGTATTCATTACAGACTTTATTAATAGAGGCATACAGTACAAGAGCAAAGAGATGCTGTACTTGTATAAGACACTTATTAGACCTCAGCTGCAATGTTGTGCCCAGTTAAAAGGAGGATGTGAACGCATTGGAAAGAGTGCAGAAGCAATTTTCAAGAATAATTCCAAGAATGAGATTCTTTGGTTTTGAGGAACTGTTTTCCTTGGAGAGAAGAAAGCTGAGAGGAGAACTTGATAGAGGTAGTGGGCTGGATAGAGAGAACTTCCTGCTTCTAAAAGGAACAAGAATAAGAGGGCATGGATTCAAAGTGATCTGCAAAAGAAACAAGAGTGACATGAAAAAATATTTTGCATTTAGTGTGTAGTTGGGGTATGGAATGCACTGACTGGAAGTGTTGTGGAGGCAGTCAATACTGCTGGGGCCTCCTGCTTTGTGCAGAGTTCACCAGTAGGCAGTAGTGCTGGAGGTGATGCCCTAGTGGTAGTAATCTGTTAGTATTAGGTTATTAATCCAGAAGCTCAGGTAATGTTCTAGGGACCAAGGTTCGAATCCCACCACGGCAGGTGTGGAATTTGAATTCAATTTTAAAAAGAAATCTGGAATTACGAGTCTAATGATGACCACGACACCATTGTTGATGTTTGGAAAACCATTTGGTAGTGAAGGAAATCTGCTGTCCTTACCTGGTCTGGCCTCGGTTTGACTCCAGATCCATAGCAATGCGGTTGAATGTTTACTACCCTCTGGACAATCAGAGATGGGCAATAAACATTGGCCTAGCCAGTGATGCCCTCATTCTGTGAATGAATAAAAAGAAAAGGCACATTGGTTAACTGCAAAACCATGTAGTTGAGTTGTGTACTGCAGTTTTAGAGTGTTGCCTACACTGATCTGAGAGGACCCGTGCAGGTTGTGAAACCAAGCGCCTACTCCTACCCCACTGGAACCACACGAAAATGAGTTCTATCCATCTTCTGACATACATTCCAAGAGTGACATTTCTGGGTAGGATGCAGGTTTGCTATAAGTACAGAGCTCTCCCCCACAATCAGTCAGGAACCTGTTGGGAAAACGGGACAAAGCTGAGGGTAAAAAAGGTACAAAGCAAAATACTGGAGGTGCTGGAAATCTGAAATAAGAACTGAAAAAAAAATCTATAAAGGTTCAGCAGGTCTGGTAGCATCTGTGGAGTAAAGGAAATTTAAACATTGCTGAAGAAAACTAGAAGTTGAAACTTTTCATCCTGCATTCATCAGAACTAGGATGCAAGAAAAAGACTTGAGAAAAGAGTCACCATTGTATACAGCATGGAAAGAGAGTGCAGATTGGTTGGGCCTTCATTGATATAGAAATACAGCAAGAACCATCAATTGTCAGTCTTAATTCTCAGACCAGACAGGTTGATTCTGATTGGCCAGGACATTATCGTAGGAATACAGCAGAGTTTGGCAATCACTGTGACCTTTTTTTTGTGAATGGACAATGTATGTGCAAATTCCTTTTGCCTCCGTAAAACCATGTATTTATATATGTAGCTTCTAGCATATTACACTGAGAGCCCAGCTGATGATCTTAAATTTGTTTCCAATGTAACTCTCAGCACAGTCCAGATTATTTAATAAATGATTTCCAGTAGCAAAATCACATTTGATGGTAGATATAATTTTCTGAGGCTTGCAAGAACGGTCTGGTTGAACACAATCGGCAAGCTACCTCTTGTGAATGGTCACTGGGATGTGTTGTTTGGTACAGCTACTTGTCATTGGGATGTTTGGCCAATGTACTTGGCATCACACCAGCACTAAAACCCATATATCACCTTAATCATTTAGGTGGTAGGAAGAATGTCTGTTGGTTTGGTAACAGCATTCTGTTAGTGGAGCAGACTACTTGTGAGCTTACTGTGCAGTAGCAAATTGAGATAGCCAGTTGAATTAACCTGTCGTTCAAATTTTAGGGACGTCTTTCCCTGCCAGGTAGACCTGACACCAGTTAGGGCCAAATGTGGTGCATGTTCATGAGATTTCATGAATTACAACAAGTGATGATTTGATCAGAGTATCACATAGGATAGTTTTGATATGCCTTGTCTCACTTTCAAGGTAACGCATGAGCCCATTCACAAGGTTACCAATAAAATTGATCTTGTAGTGTGTAGGACTGTAGAAATCTCACCGTGTATACTGATTGGCAAACAGAGGCTTTCATTGTAAGACTTCTCAGCCAATATTTGAGGGAAAGGAGTTTATTTGATTGCTCCGTTTAAATGGTAAATTTGATTGCATGATGAAGTTCATTAGTCTGTGAAAAGAAATTCATTCATGCGGCTAAGGATTGAAATATTGCAAACATGTCATCTACATGTTGGAAATATGCAAGGGCCTGAAGTATGCTCCATCAGCCCATACTTGCAAATCTGCGAAATTGCATCCACCATTAGATGAGATTCTGCTGCCGGAAATCATTTATTGAATAATCCAGATTTGTGCTGAGTGACACCGAGAAACAATTTAAGATTGTTAGCAAGCCTCACAGTACGATGCATCTGTGTATGCTAGAAACTCCAGATATAAGTACACAGGACCCCGTTTTATATTGGCAACAAGATTTTGTACATACATTGCACTTTTTAGAAAAAGAGCATACACAGAGACAGCCAGACTCTGCTGCATTCCCATGGTAATCTACCTTCTTGTCTGAAAATTAAGATTGCTGCAACTCCATGCCATTGATGGCCCAACCAGTCAACATTCACTTTTCAAACTGCATAAAATGGTGTTTTTTTCAAGAACAAAAACAAAGATGCTGAAAAAGCTCAGCAGGCCTGCCAGCATCTGTGAAGGAAGAAACCGAGTAAACATTTCAGGTCCGGTGACCCTTCCTCAGAACTGAGCTTTTCCAGCAACTTTGTTTTTGTTCCTGATTTATAGCATCCGCAGTTCTTTCTGTGTTTTTTCAAGTCTGTTTCGTGAATGCAAAATGAAAAGTTTCAACTTCTAGTCTCCTTTTAAGAATGTTTAATAAACAGAGTTAATGTTTCAGGTCAATGACCTTTCTCTATTTAATAAAAAGTGTAAAAAAAATGTAGTATGAAATGTGCAGTATATGCCAGATGCTTTTTGCAGGACACCACCTTCTGTGATTTTTATTTGACACCTTTGTTGCCAGTTTGGGCCTGTTTCATTGCATGGATGGGACATATTGTGTCTAGAGTTTTCATTTTAATCTTTTTGGAATTATGTATAAAAATGTTAACATCCTTGCAGCAATCCTAAAAACAAGACACTGAAGAGAAACCCAAAAGACAATGGCTATCTACTGGAAGTATTCCTTGCTGTAATACAAAAATCTGAAAGCCCATAATAATGTAAGCCAGAGAATCATAAAAATCAGCAAAGTTTTGGTTTCCTTTCTTGAGGAAGGATGTGGTGGCACAGGAGGCAGTTCAAAGGAGGTTCACCAGGTTGGTTCCAGGGATGAAAGGGCTTTTTTACAAGGAGCAGTTAATAGCTTGGGCTCGTACTCTCTAGAGTCCAGAAGAATGAGTGGGGATCTGATTGAGATAAAGAAATGCTAAAAGGGATTGATAAAGTGGACATTGAACAGATGATTCCCCCTTGTGAGACAGTGTCGAACAAGACATCATAGATGTAGAGTGTGAGGTAGTTCAGAATTGAGACGAAGAGAAACTACTATTTTCAGAGGGTTGTCAATCTGTGGAACTCATTGCCTCAGAGTGCAGCGAAGGCAGAATCAATAAACAGATTCAAGAAAGAAAAAGATATGTTTCTGATGAAAAGCAGGATAAAGGGTGATGGGGAGCAGACAGGAAAGTGGAGACCAAGATAAGGTTAGCCTTGACCATGTTAAATGGCGGAGTGGGCTTGAAGGGCTGATTTTGCCTACTCCTGCTCCTGATTCCTATGTTCCAGTGACTGGATGGGTCCTTTCACTGATAGAGTCAATCATAATTTCCAAGTTGTCTGGC